TTAATGGTCGCGAGTTGATGATGCCTTCAATTCGAATTAATAATGTGTTCAACTCAGAAAAGGTGAGAAGTGCCTTTCCAAGCACTTTACGCAATGATTCTTTGATTGCTCTAAAAAATCGTTCCCACCATCCGCCTCGCCATGGTGAACGCTCGGTGATGAATTTCCACGTAATCCCTTTCGACGAGAGCTCAGAATTAATTCGATTTCGATCCAATGTATCCCACACCGTTCGACTTTGAGTACTAGGATCATACAATTTCTGGATTTCCTTGCTTGCAGCCTTAAAGGTTTTTGCGTTGTCGGACCACACTGTATGGCAAAGACCTCTGCGGCTTGTCATGCGACTAAAGGCTTGTAGGAACTCATCAGTGGTAAGGCTATGTGTTAGTTCCAAGTGAATCATACGAGATGATGCGCATGTAAATAGACAAACGTACACTTTCTGTACGGTTGAACCTTCTTTTACATAGAGAGGTCCTGCGAAGTCAGTTCCAACATGCGCAAAAGCTGGTGAACATGAAACTCTCTCCTCCGGCAATGGGCCCATTTTCTGCGCGCAAGGTCCAACTCGCTGTTTTTGGCAAGCCACGCATCTTCTGATAACACGTTTGACTTCTCGTCTCCCTTGGGTCAGCCAAATTTTCTGTCTTAAGGTTGACAGTATGCTTTCTGGGCCCGCATGTAACATGATCTTGTGTAGGTCTAGTACTATCTTTGCGACTTCGGGATGTCCGTGAGGCAATATTACTTGATGCTTGGTCTGTTCAAGTAGATCAGCAAACTGCAGTCGGCCACCAACTCTTATAACCTGATCCTCTCTGTCATAATACGGGTCTAGTTTGAGAAGGCGACTGTTCTTGGGAAGAGTTTGTCCGGACTTTAGCAACTGGTAATCTTCTTTATAGACCTCTTCCTGTACCCACTTACAACACTTAAGCTCTGCCTTCCTCACTTCTTCTGCCGACAGTTCACTTTCAGAAGACTTACATTTAGTCTTGAACAACTTGACTGCTCTCAGTACATAAGCGGTTACTCGAATCAACTTTAACCATGTCCCGTAACGCGACATATCAATTAACGGCTCTCTAACGACTGCTGTACAACCATGAGCAATTTTCCTTTCCTCTTCGCATACTTCAGAGGGAACAGTACCACCTTGGGGCTGAACGGGTAAAGGTTTGTCACTCGAAGACAGCCACCGAGGTCCATTCCACCATAAGGTATTGGCAATCATATCATCACAGCTCAACCCACGCGTCAACAAATCTGCAGGATTCTCCTTACTAGCACAGTACCTCCAACACTCAGGATCCCACGTAGACTGTATTTCTGCCACTCGATTCGCCACAAATGGTTTCCAACGAGAACTCTGACCTTTTACCCAATGCAGTGCCACCATACTATCAGTCCAACACACAACACTACTCACTTACATAGGCAAAGTGTCTACAACAAACTTCAACAACCTGGCATTTACAACTGCTGCTAAAAGTTCCAGTCTGGGTAGTGACACTTTCTTTATAGGTGCAACTCGGGACTTTGATATTACCAGCTGCGAGGATACATGACCTTGCTTGTCTGCTATTCTGATGTACACTGCTGCTCCGTACGCTTTAGGAGAGGCATCTCCAAAACCATGTAGCTCTATCTTAGAATCTTGCGTGATGCCATTTCCGAAGCATCGGGGTATGGTCACACCTTTCAGTTGCAACAACTCTGACTTCCAATGTAGCCACTTTGCTTTAATTTCACTGTCCAAAGGGTCATCCCACAATAATCCTTTCAACCACAGTTCTTGGAAGAGGATTTTGGCTCTGACAGTGAAGGGAGATATCAACCCTAAAGGGTCAAACATTTTCGATGCTAGACGAAGCAGGCTTCTCTTTGTCATTGGATCCGGAGATAAGACAATTCCACCCGGTGCAAGAAATCGGAAGTGATCAGAGGTCAAATCCCATTAGACTCCAAGCGCTTTAAGGGGTTCACTCGACTCAAACTCCACCAGTGACGATGAGGCTCTTTTGGCTGGGGCAATAGCATCCATTACGAGCTGTGAGTTACTTGCCCACTTTGTCAAGTTAAATGCCGCTTTCATCATGATCTCTGACATGTCTTGTTGAAGTTTCACAGTCGAGTCCACCGTATCGGCTCCTGTTAGGACGTCATCCACATACATGTTTTGTAGAATTTCTTGGACTGCATTTGGGAACAGTTCTGCGTATTTTTTTGCATGAGCATGGACCGTCGAAATAGCAAGGAATGGACTGGAGTTCACACCAAATGTCAGTCTTTGCATTCTATAAACTTTGGGTGTTTCGTTAAATTGTAAATCTCTCCACAGGTACCGGTGAACGTCTCTATCCTCTGGCGCTAGCTTGACCTGAAGAAACATCTTTTCAATATCTGCTATGAGACCAATTCTGTTTGTTCGAAATCGAATGAGTACAGATGCAAGGTTGGGCTGTAAGGCAGGACCGGGAAGGACACAATCGTTGAGAGAAACACCATCTCCTTCTCGCGCGGAAGCATCAAACACGATTCTGCACTTAGTCGTCGTTTTGTCATCACGGAACACAGCATGATGCGGCAGGTAGCGTACAGTTCTATCTTCATCATTCTCGTTAGGCACTACCTCTGCAAATCCTTTCTCTACATATTCATTGATTGCAGAATTGTAAGCTTTAGCTTTCACAGGGTCATGTCTTAACCTTCTTTCGATGCTTTCCAGACGTCTAACAGCTTGCATGTAGTTACTTTCCAGTTTAGGAGGGTCACTTTTCCACGGTAGTCGTACTTCATAGTTCTTCCCGTCAAATTTCAATCCTATATTGAAGTCAGCAACAGCAACTTCCTCCTCCCGGGAAATAACAGTGTTTTCAGTCTCAGCGATGCCAATAGATTCCAGTTCCCAGAATCTTTTCAAGCTTTTAGTGAGTCCACTGTTTTCTACAACGGTAAGCATGGATGTGGTATACCTTGAGTAAAGGTTTACTTGTCCGGTAAGAATCCACCCGAGATGAGATTCAACAGCAACAAGTGACTCAGATGAACTACCTTTCTTGTACAACCCAGTTACGAACGAGTAGTAAAAGTCTGCACCAATAAGGACGTCTACTTGGACGGAATCGCGAGGGTAGGAATCTGCGAGATTAAAACCTTGAAGATGAGAGTTCTTACGAAAGTCTAACTGCACTGGCCCGAGGGAGTTACAAATCTTGGGAATAGCAAGGGCCTCCATCTCCACCTTGGAATCTCCTTTCATTGGCGAAAGTGCAAATTTAACTCTCTGTAATCTCTTGGTTTCACTAGTTGTTCCACCGAGCATTGTAACACTTAATAACTCTGAGGGACCTTGCAAGCCAAGGGACTCTGCAATGCTCTTGCGCACATATGAACGTTGACTACCAGAGTCTAGCAAAACACGGACTGTCATTTCTTGACCATTAACAGTTAACCTCGCCAACGCTGTCTGTAGCAGTGTTTCCTTCAAGGGCAATGCAGGTTTAGCTGAAGCTAACCCACTTAAACTGATGTTGGAAGGCTGCTGGGGTGTAGCCACTAACTGCTGACCATGTAACAATTTGTGATGACGGCGGCCACAATTTGCCACAGAACACTTTGGTTGGCGACAAATCTTGGAAAAGTGCTTGTGGTTGCTAGGCTTTAAACAATTGAAACACAGTTTATTCTCTTGAACTAGCTTCCACCTGTCATCTAATGACTTGTCATTGAAAACTGGGCAATTTGGCGACTCGTGACCTGCCTTACAGAAATTGCAGCTTGGACCAGTTAGCTCACGTGCCTCACCAAGTAATGCAGAGGCTGTATACGCTCCATCCTCACCAATTCGAGGAAGTGACGACTTTCTTCTGTTATCTCTACCCTTATTGCTTTGGGTATTGTTCACATTACAACCTCTCTCTCCTGCTTCTTTGGATACAACTTGGCGGTTCAGAAATTTGAAAAACAGCTCAAGATCTATTTTATCCTCTTGAGTGTCTGCAAGCTCTAACTCCCATTTTTCTAGTAACTGAGGTGGCAACTTGGTCTCAAAGATGGGTAACAAAATACAACCATGACTCGCTGGATCTTCACCAAACGCTTCTAAGGCTCTGGTTCTATTCATAAATGTGTCATAAAGATCTCTAAGGGCGGATGCACTGACCGCCGACTTAGCATCCATCTGGATGACAGATTTCACAAGGGATGAGATTATCATACGTTTTCTTCCATACCTGTGTTGGAGGCAATGGACCGCTGCTTGATAATTTGCTCCAGTTACTTCAAATCCTTCTGTTGTTTGCAAAGCATTACCAGTAAGCACTGAGCGTAGGTAAGTAAACTTCTGTACCTTGGGTAAGTCATCATTGTTATGCACTGCGGCTTCAAACTGGTCCTAGAAGTTTTGAAATTTCAACACATCCCCATTAAACTTTGGCAGTTCAATCCTGGGCAATTTAAGACTTGACGATTGACGACTGTCAGTATGTGTATTTTCTTTTGAAGACTGATGATCCTCCACTTTGGAATCCTTTTGGAGGTATTCATGAGCAACATCGATAGCTTTATCCACCACACGTAAAAGATCTCCCCATTTGCGAAGTTCTTCTTCTATCATATCCTCCGCGATCAGCGCGACTATTTCATTTCTCAGCTGAAGATATTTCTCTCTATGCACGGTAAGTCTTTCAATTCTCAGCTTTACTTTCACTTTGTTACTTGTACTTTGACTAAGCTCCGAAATTTCCCGAATCAGCCCGTCCATATCCATTTGCAAGGCTTTGGCTTTGCGTCTGATCGAGTTAATTTCTTGAATTTCTACTTCACTCGAAGACTCCGCTGACTCAGCAAGATTCATTTCTTCCTTCGACTCTGGTTTGACAACATTTGACTTTGAATCGTCTACCAACCTTTCAATCAAGACCTTCTTTTTTCCAGTAGTTGGTAATCCCTTTTCTTGAAGCAGCTTTCGCAGCTGATCGACTGTAAGTTGCGATAAATCATCATTTTCGGTCTTTGGACTGGCGGCCATCTTATCACCCACGTGGTGATGACCTTGCGAAGAATTACAAATTTACTGTTCAACTGTCACCTTGTATCCGGCTGTGAAGGACCATGTTAAGGAAGCGATGGAATACAAACTTGAACGCTTGAACACAACTTTAATCCGCTCGATTTATAATACACCGATTTACAACAGGTTGATGTACTGCCCGGGAACCCGACTTACAACAAATCTACGAGCGACTAGCAAGGAAGTCACGTGACGTGTTATCTACATAATTTATTCTACTCTCACAGGTCCAGTCTCACGGGGCTTTTAATGACCCGAGTACGAGTACGACGATGGGCCGTAACACCGCCTTTTATGGAGCGAGTCCTGCTTGTTAAATCAAATATGCTCTCAATTGTTAGACTCATAAACAAACTTTTAACACGTCAAAAACTTATTTCTAAGGTTTTGAAGGGTTTAGAACTAAAACACTGCCCCCTTTTTAACCAATGTTTTTTGAAGACAATGAGCTGAAGTGAAAGTAATTGAATGAAAGTACTCACGTTTTCCTCACGACCTCAAACAGCTTGCTTTCACGTCGTGAACGGCAAGAGGACGGCAGTCGTAAACCGGAAATTACGTAAATATACTGACGAATCAAGTTGTCACGCTGGTCACACAATGAGATTTTGCCGTCGTCTCCCCTCAACCGTTCTGTTGCGTAAGGTCCCTATTATTTAAAAGGGGCTGATAAAAGTAATTCAATTGTATTTATATAACATACTTCATGGAAACTGCGCACGTACGGCATTTACGTACGACTTATTAGTCGAGCTAGTTTTAGCAGAGCCTGACTCTAAAAATGCGGGCGTTTCTTTGTGTGTGTGTGTGTGTGCGCCCGCCCAATGGTAGGCCATGCTCCCAGGCGTTCCTAGCGAAGACCGTGGAAAATGGGAATAAGAATCGTGACAACTTTCATTGTATGCGAATGAGTCTCGTGATGAGCATGCAGTTTATTTTCGGCGATGACTGAAATGACGTATAAGTTGGTTTGGCATTGATGTATTTTCTCCGATTTTCGTGTAATTATGCACTCGTATTAAAAAGTAACTACCCTGAAGGATACTCGACCATCGATAAAGTAGGATGAGAAAATATCGTAGCGGGGAAATCCTGTTTTGTGGTGTATCGAGGCGTTACGTTTCTCAGAATACGTATTGTCGCAATTACTGGAAATCTACGGTTAAGTAGATTTACTTTGTCGTATGTATTTAATTGAAAGATTTTCGCAGTTGTTAAGATGTGAAGTCGCGTTGCCCTTTATAAATACTTGAGACACCGTAAAATCCCGAAAATAAGCCCCGGGGCTTATATTTTTCAAAGGCCCTTTTTGAGGGGCTTATTTTTGGAGGGGCTTATCTACGGAGGGAAATTTGTGTTTCAAAATCGATTGGGCTAGCCATATAGTTGGAAGTAAATTTACCGTTTTTGCTTTGTTTTACTTTGTATCTGAGGGCAATTTTCCAAATACAAGCCTCCGGGGGCTTATATTTGGAGGAGCGATTTAATGGAGGGTTTCTTGCGTTACCGGTTTGGGGGGCTTATATTTGGAGGGGCTTATTTTCGGAATTTTACGGTAGCCATTAACCTTCAACTACTACTGGAAGCAACTTCAACTACCCGTCTGACGTTACGCATGCGTCATGGATGGGCTTATACGCGAAGCTTTGTACTTGACTGTCACGTTCTCTACTTGCAGCACTTCATTTCCATAGAATAGAAATCCTATGTCGAGCTTTTCCGGAACGGGTCGGTCCTCGAATTCTATCGCTTGAAAGCGTTGATTACTGTGGAACAAATTTCGATTTCTTGACAAGTTGGCTCCATAAGTCACGGAACCGTGAACAGCCGCATGCATATGGCCGATATGAAGTGTTCTGCGTTTTGAGAGCCGTGAAGCTTGACGATAAAGCCTCCAGAATAAATGTACGGGGTCTTTTAACTTTTCGAGTTTGAACTGAAGTGTTGATAGGCTAAATACGACTCATAAGCTTGAGATAGTGTGAAAAACGACCTTGGACTTGGAGTTAGCTTGAACTACAGAGGTTTCCTTTTTCTTTCTTTCGCTTAGGTTATGCAGTATATGGAGTATTTTAAACTCTAACTGAGCGATCTTACTTTTGCTGGTCTGAGTCTAACATTTAGAGGTCATGAAGCTGGTCTGTTTCATGCATATTGAGTAATTATTTCCTGTGGTCTGGAGTGCCATTTCCTACATTTTCTCCGTTTGCAATTACTCTTGTTTTAGCTTGATAGTCTATGCGACTGTACTAGTTGTGCATTTTTTGTTACAAGTGCCTAAAGCGAGACTGCAGTTTCGGAATGAAAAGGTTCTCGTCAGTTGCTACTATGGTATAAGTGTTCACTTTGTGAAGGGAGGCTAACTCCAAGGTCACTTTTCACACAGCAATTCTTGATTAGTCTCTTTACAGCTGATTTCATTGCTATGTATACACCCGGATTTTCAGACATGATTCGACGGTCATGATTCGACCTGTCACGATTCGACACTAATCACGTGACGTATCGCTTCGCAGTACGTAAACGGTTGCAGTTCTGCCGTGGGATCCGAAACAGTGAGAGAAAAATCTGGCCGGCAAGGAAAGCTTAGCACTAAAGGACATAAGTGTAACGAAGCTAGAATCCCGACAAATGCGTTTTACCTGGAGAGGAAAGCTTTGTTGCCTGGAAAGCAGCGACATGATACAGAAATTATGAGAACATGTGATCAGGTGATAAACCTGGAGTTCGATTGCCGAGTTCGAATGTATTTCTGTAGGAGATTTCATAATGGACGAAATATTATCAATACGGCGAAAAGCGAAATAGTCCGATGGTTTATCGTTTAGTCTTCTTCCGTTTCACAAGGTTTCGGTATTTTGCCGTTGGCGAATACCACTCGCAATTTGCATGTAACAGTGATGCAAATTTAGTTAACAGGGAGGCAAATTTGTATTTCTTCAAGTTGGTACTTTTTCGTCCTTACTTAGCTTCTGCAGGGTTAAAAAATAACAGGAAAACTTGACGTTTTGCAGAAGAAATCAACAGATAAATTGATCAGTCTGCCGATGTGAAATAATTTGCTGGAGAGTTTAAAGTTTTGTTTTGTCGACCATTGACAAATATCAGAATGTTCGATCCTCGACCTATGACCCTAGTGAGCACAAACAAAGAAAACCATACATAAAAGAAAGCAACATCTGTTTTTATTGAAAAAGGGTAAAATATGAAATTTCTTTAAAGATCAAGGTAGAAGCCCAAAGAAAGTTGAGAAAAGAGCCGAAAAACTTACTGATCGAGACGTCCACACGCCTGATTACATGTATTGCGATTAGATTGCGTGACTTGTATGAGAGGCTGTTGTCTGAAAAGGAGAACAAATTATGGATCACAGTCCGCTTTTTCTGAATTACAAGAGAAACATTCAAGCTGTCATTAAAGTAACAAGGTAAAATACTGTACTGCTTGGTAACCTCTCGGTCGAATCATGACCGTCGAATCATGTCTAAAAATCAGGGTGTGTACACAGCACTGAAATCAGCTGTAACCTGTCAACACTATTTCAAACCAGATGTTTTCCTTAACGCGTTCAGCCAATGATAAAAGGTTTTCTATTTCGGAGAGGTAGTAGCCAACCAGAAAATACCTACCATATTCGCAAAGGTAGGTGACGTTACCGGACGGCATTATAACTTAAAATTTGCATTTGCGGCATATTTTTTTGTACATTTCTTTGCCGTTGTTTTGCACGACTAATACGTGAAACTTGCTAGTTACACATTTGGTGTCAGTAAAAGGCGGGGTCGGGGCCGGGGTCTATGTTAATTTTAAAGACTGCTGTTTTAGGGTTAGGAACAACGTTGCAACCATTCGAAACAGTGTCGCAACAATGTTGTGATGCTTTCTTACGCTTAAAATCATCGTTGCGAATCGTCTCGTGTAACGTAACCTTTAGCATTACACGATTATATTTTTTTTGTTTATAAGTATATTAACGAGAGCTTCGCTTTTAGCCCTGGCCAAATCTATATATTACAAATAAGCTATCTGTTAATGGCGTTTTTCCTGATAGCTTCAATAATGCTTTTAGTGACAAGCCACGTGCATTCTTATAACACTAGAAGATCGGGGCTTTTTTATTAACCCCATTGCACAGCTAGTATAAGAAAGTTCTCTATCTGTTTCCAAGGTCCTAAATTTTTCAACTTTCCTAATCCTACTCCAACTGCTAATCATAATCATAATCATAGTACGTAATAATCATAATGTAACTTCAGATTTTACTTCCGCTTTCTAATTCATTTTGACTTCCATTTTTTTGCACTTTAGTTCCCCTAGATATTCTCACTCGAGGTCCTTCAGCTTTTAAAGCTTATACAGAGGCCCTGGCCCATGGAGAAACATCTTTAAGGAGGATGTCATTAATGCTGATTGGACAAGGCGGTGCAGGAAAGACAAGCACAATGAAGTCTTTAAAAGGGATTTGTTTTGACCCTAACGAGGACAGCACTATTGGAATAGATGTGGATCCGTCCCATTTCAAAGTGTCCAATGAGACGTGGTGGACCGGAGTGCAATATCAAGACCAGAATTGTGATCCAGCCATTTACCTTGACTTCTGTTTGGCAAGCTGTTTTGCGAAGCACTTGAAGACAGAAGGAAAAAACACTGAAGTGCCTTCGCAACTAAGAACCACTGAAGAATCAAGAGAAGAAGACATTAAGTCACCTTTAACTGTTCAAAACGAGGAAGCACCTACAGCTGAAAGGTTTCTCCCGGGCAATTTTGTTGCCGAGAGGAAACAGATGGTACAAGAAAGCTTTGGACTCTCTCATTCAACTGTCCCCGAAGAGATAGGAGCTCTAACTAAACGGTTCCTCCGAGGAGAATTGAATGACAACAAAGAAGACATTTATTTTACCTTTTGGGACTTTGCCGGGCAGTCAGTGTATTATGAAACTCATCCGCTTTTTCTTACACCAAGAGCAATCTTCTTCCTGGTTTATGATCTTCGCCTGAATCCTGACGACGAAGCAAAACCCGTGTTAAAACAAGAATTATACGGAGAAAGAGAAGTAAGCTACAATTTAAAAACAAATTTCGATTATCTTGATTTTTGGATGAGGTCTGTGGCCTTGTTATGCAGCAGTCAAGCGGAAGGTTCTAGACTAGAAGGGACGGTATCAATGAAGGCCCCCCCCGTTTTTCTAGTGTGCACCCATGCTGATAAACCTGGTCGTGGTGATCCAAGGAAACTTGCCCTTGGGATATTTGGTCGTTTAAAGAGCAAGCCGTATGGTGCGCATTTATTTGACGTTTTCTGGGTAGATAACACAAGTCTAAGAGTCCAAGATTCTGTCTGCCCAGAGGTTGCCCGTTTGCGACAGGAAATAATCGCTGTTGCCAAACAGCTCCCCTCCATAGATGAGAATATTCCCACCAACTGGTTAAAATTCGAGAAGGCACTTAAAGCCAAAAGAGAAGATGGACACAAACACATTTCCCTGAAGTCCGCAAAAGATATTGCTAAGGATGAATGCAACATTGTTGACGAGAAAGAGTTTGAGACCTTGATGAACTATCTTCATGACATAAGAAGTTTGATTCATTTCGAAGACACGATACAGTTGAATAAATTGGTAGTCCTGGATCCCCAGTGGCTTGGTGATGTTTTTAAGAAAGTGATAACTGTAAAACCGCATGATCCAAAGGAAAAAGAATTCTGGCACTTGTGGTGTAAGCTTCAGTCGGAGGGAGTGCTGGATGAAATGCTTTTGGCTCATGTGTGGGACCCTTTGTTTAAGGACAAAGAAACATCAGAGAGTCTCATTGGAATCATGGAGAGATTTAGCTTGTTATGCCCTTGGTCAGTCCATGCCGCGAGCAATAGTACGAAACAGTATCTGGTCCCTTCAATGTTGAAGGCGTATCCAACGACTGAGATTCTTGAGCTAGTGAAATCTGCCAATATCCCTTCTCTGTTTGTCAAATTTTTAAATGGTGAGGTTCCTCCAGCTTTTTTCCCTCGGCTGGTCGTTCAGTTTATCCAGTGGGGCAGAGGAACGTTTTGGTCAGAAGAAACTCCTCAGCTTTTTATGGGCTTTTCAAGGTTTTATACCTTGGACGACGCATGCTCCGTAATTTTTTTATGCCACTCTTCATCTGTTGAGGTCGTTGTTCATGGAGGGAATTCAGAAGACTTCCCCCCCAGCAACGGAGAGGTAAATTGTGCTCTTCAGGTGTGTAGGCAACTAGGCTTGATTCTTGAGTGCATGAGAAATGAGTTTCCCTGGCTGAGAGATATGAGATATGACATGTGTGTCATCTGTCCCGTCTGCTCCAAAGGGAGGGAAGTTGACTATTGTCAAACGCATGGTGCAAGAAAATGCAAACAAGAACAATGTCTTCACTTCTGGACTGTGTCTGAACTGTGCAGTGACTCAGGAATCGTATCCTGCAAGAGGTCTGTTATTGCTCGAGTCGTTAAAGTGCCAGTCATGCAGTTTTCCCCTTGGTTTCCTGCTCCACAAAAACAGGTATCAATTTATGGTTTTATTTTGTGGGGAGGGGTTTCTTGCAGATTCCCTTCCTTATCAAATATATGTTATATACCAAACATAAAATGTATTGTAATAAAACTACTAATTAAAAATGTAAAAGAGCTGTCCAGGGTAAAGTAGCCCTCATGACCTAATGGCATTTTAGGGAGTGAAAATGACAAAAATAAATCGAAGTTCTACTCAGGGATGCTTAAATTGTTGTGAAAATTCAGGGGCGTAGCGGGACCATTTTGACAAGTACGCACCCAGGTCCATATGGTTTTAAAAACTTCTTACAAAATAACGTTTTTGCTTTCCTTAATACATAATTATATTGGCAGTTTACAGGCTTGTTTACAACGCCATATCAGAAAAGCTTTTAAAACGTTCTTCTTTGAGCTGGGACTGGAATGTTTACCAACGCAAGGCGAAGCGCCTTTTTTGTTTAGAAATTTGGATGGTTTAAAGGATTGGTTGGAAGAATCGCGGCGTGTGCATGTTTGTGTAAATTTTCCGCATGCACGTTTAGTGCTTTGCCGATTTTTGAGTTTTTCCCTTGTTTCGATCATGAGCACGGGAAGGGACCAAACAATTATAGTCACCATTTATTTGTTTTCAGTTGTTCTGAATATCTCCAATGTTTGTCATTGAAAAAATACTACATCTGTTCGCTAGGAGTAAATTTCCTGCCAAATTCCTGTTGATACGGCGCCACACGTGCACCTAATAGTTTTCTTCAGCTTACGTGGATTATCGTCGGCATGGTTTGGTCCATGATTTCACAGTTGAGCGACATCAAGGTAGTCTTTGATAGACTTTTTCGACATTTATGGAGAGAGCCAGAAAATAAAAAAAAAACGAATAGCTTTTGAATGGGAAAACTTTCCAGATACATGTTGAAAGGAATGATAATCAGTCAGCGTCGATTTTTTTCCGTTTTTCATGAATATACAATGTATTGTGGGATCGCCTGAAGGCAAACATTTCAATAATGTTTCAGTTTATCACATTCCACTACTCAAACTGTTGTATTTTACGCGTGAAAACGATGCTGAATAACAGCGAGACAGAAAGGAACAAATCTGCTCAATGCAAAGGCAAGTCACAACGCTACAAATGGCTTTTACTTATAACAGGAAATCTTTAAAAAAAAATCCTACCAATTTCTCAAGTACGCACGTGCGTATTTGCCTAAAGGACGCTACTCCCCTGAGAATTTAAGGTGGCTGAACGCAGTTTTGCGGGTGGTCTGTGATAACTCGCGTGACGGCGCGTGTTTTAAATTAGAAAAAACAAACATGGTGGCGAAAAAAGCAATGGTACAAAGAAGACAATTTCTCAAAATGTACTCATTACAATTAATAATTACAGTACAATTATATTATTTATTATCTAAAAACCCGTCTGTTAAAATTTGATTAAATAAGTTTCAAATGGTAATGATTAATTATAGTAAGCTGTGTGCAGGTTTAGAGGAAAATCTAATCGGGGAATTTTTTGTCAACTGAGCAAAAGTGAAATTTTAAGGTTGTATTCAATCGTTCATGTTGCCATGAAAACTACGAAAACGTCACATTTTACCTGTCAGTGAAAATCGTTCATCTGTATATTTTTCACCTGCCAAGTTTCAGCTTGTGAGCAGCAACCTTTCTCTTGCCATGATTTGGCAAATGACATACACTCACAAACTGCCAAAACTGTGTTCAGCCACCTTAGGAAGACGTGCCTTTGATAGTAACCTCACATACCAAGAGGATATAAAATGTCTATATGAAACGTTTCCCAACTAATGTCATAAGGAAACAGCGCCAGGAGCTTCTATAGCTACAAAAGTTCATGTCAGTGAGGGTGACTGCCCTGTCTCCAACTGACCTTTACCCTAGAGAGGGTAAGCAATTGACCACTGGTTCCATAATTGACGGTTTTCGGAACTTCTAATTATTACACTTAAGTTACTATGAGCCAAAGCACAAATTCAATATCACGTTTTTCTGTAGCAGCAAACGTTGAAAGAAAGAGTATTACTCAGAACGAAATTACTACGCACTTACACGCCCAACGCAAAACTACAAATTGAAACATTAGATAGTGTTGGTTATCTCTTAACGAAGAAATATCAGTCTTTTACTGTTTATGATTTTCAGCCTGGAATTGGTGCATGTGACGTGGACCCGTTGATATTTGAAGGTAAGGATAGTGAGTAAGTGATGAAGATAAGTTAACAAGTAACCCAATCTGGCGTTTAACAAGTCACTCTTTTTATAATGGGTGAGTCACGATGATGATGTTTTATGTACATAGTTTTAAACCGTGAGGTGCTGGGCAGTTTTAGTTAAGTAAACTATCAGGAGTGTTGCATCAAGTTTAAAACATTAGCCACAATGGAGTGTTTTAAGTCTGGTAACACATAATCTTTAAGTTTAATGAACGTCTTAAAAAAATGTCTTTTGTGGATCCACTCATTTTTTCGAAACAATCCTTGGGTTTTCCATTATTCTTTCCCAGGAATCGATGGCTAAGACTCTTAAAGGCACTCATTAAATATTAATCTCGTGAGTTGTTGATGAGTTTTAGTGGATGTTGGGTGTGTGAAAATAACTGCCTTGCTTATATCTTTGCGGAGGTCCACACAGACGTTTACACTTCCATCGCCAGTCATTGCTATTACGATTACGTTCACTCGTTGTAGACTGATCAACTTTCTCTATTGCGCCATAGCTTTCACAACTATCGGCCCTGACCTGGCAAGGTAGATACCCAAAACAAATGTCAAACCGTTACAACGGTTTGCAAGTTGTTGAGTGAAATAAACGAAAGGAAGGTTACGGGCTGGATAAAATTCCCTGCACGTTATGAAAACTGGCCAGTGGTATTGTTGGGCCCTGACTAACCAGCATTTTTAAGAGCTCTGTTGAAACAGGGTTTTTTCCCAAGCGAATGGAAAGTGCCCAAAGTAACTCCTATCCCCCTCCGGGGGCACTTGGGAATTTTTTTGGGTGGGTATGTGCCGCCCGGGACTCCAAATTGGCATCCCGTTCTAAAAGAAGTTTCCCCTAAAATTGATACCCCGTTCTAGAAATGGGCCCATTTTTTATACCCCGTTCGAGAATTCGCCCTAAAACTGATACCCCGTTCTAGAAATGGGCCAATTTTTTATACTCTGTTCTAGAAAGTTTGTAAATTGAGTTAGCCCTGTTTTTTAAAAAGATATTTCTTTATTTGTTCGACTTATACATCAAATAAATGCTTCCTCATAATCAGCAACAATTTTAAGCAGAAGATAAAGCTGTGATCCACAATTTTTTTTATTTCCCATCTTATTAAATTGTGTTAAAAGCTTTTATAAAAAAAATCATGAATATCAAGTTACTAAACTGCAATGTAGATTCAAGCAAATTACGTATATATTATAATACGTTGTTTATCGGAGTGATCGTTAAATGCTCCACTTTCTTGCTTGTATCTTCGGTCTCAACATCAGGCTGAACAAAGTGTTATGTAACAGTTTCTTGTTTTGCCGTCATAGACAACCAATGCGATTATATTCGAAAGGAGCCAAGTAAACGTCACTGGCAATTAAGTAAACGTTCTGATCAAGAAAAGTTTTAATTAATTATTGATGTAGTGGCAACTGAAACCTTAATATGACGCTCTCAATGGCAAACTTAAACCGTATTTTGAACCGTATTTTTAAAAGCAATCTGTCCTTGGATAATTTCAAATGGCTGCTTACAAAACTAGAGCTTTCGTGCGTTCGAAATATTATACCCCGTTCTAGAAAACACCCCAGAAAAGGATACCCCGTTCTAAATCAGGGGCTTCAAAATCACGACCCCGTTGGGCGGCACATACCCGTATAGGTAATGTATGGGAATACCCCCCCCCCACCCACCCCCGGGATCGTCCTAAGAAGGCTTTCGACACCATCGACCATGAAATTGTTTTGCGTAAGCTTGCAAACTACGGAGTTGACGAGCACTCTTTCTCTTGGTCTACCTCATATCTAAGTAACCGAAGTTAAATTAAGGTGTAACATTAATGGTGCTTTGTCAAATGCAAGCAAAGTCAGCTGTCGGGTGCCACAGGGAAGTATAATTGGGTCGCTACTTTTCCTAATATATGTTAACGACCTGTCAAACTGCCATACTATAGCCAGCTGTAGAAAAATGGTTGCAGATGACACTGACATAAGTATCCCGGGCCGCACTCTTGGTGATCTTCAACCATTGATAAACTCTGAACTTGCACATCATAATTGCTGGTTGAGAGCCTATAAGGTTAGCCTTAATATAGCGAAAACTGAATTTATGATTATTGGTTCTCGTCAGCGGCTACTTGCTGAGAGTAATAATGCAACCTGTGTCGAATTAGAGAGCCATCGAATCGAGAGAGTGGATCATACTAAGTCGTTAGGCCTCACAATTGATGATCGACTATCTTGGACAAATTATATTAATGAATTATGCTAAAAGGTATCCGCTGCAATAGGTGCTCTGAAGCGAATCAGGCCGTTTGTCTCTCATTCAACAGCTATACAAATTTATAACATCCTTATCCAGCCCCATCTCGACTACTGTAGTCTCGTCTGGGATGGGTTAAGCAACCAATTAGCAATAAATTGCAAAACTGTGCAGCCTGGGTGATCGCCAAAGCAAATAATATTACAAGCTCTAGCATCTCCTAGAAGGCAAAAGTAAAAGGCGGTTATGATGTTCAAGTCCCTGCACAAGCTAGCCCAGTGTACTTTGAGGACGTATTCATAAACTAAGTTCATATATTGCGACCTAAGCTATAGCGGTGCTCAATAATGGTATTCTTTACCAGAATATGTTAGAAACATCAAGTCAGTACAGCAATTTAAAAAGGAGATTAATCGAGTGTTGTAATAATCAGTTTCCCACTCGGCAATTTTGTAAATCAGTTAATACCGCACACTCTAGGTTGTCCAAACGTCAGTCATTGTCAGCAAGTCCTATACAGGACTACACTCACCAGGACGATCATGCTTCACCTACTTATGAAATGACTCCTGGGTGCAAATCTTTTACAGTTTTAAACATAATAGCGTCGGAAATTTCCCAGATTACTAAGAGATAGAGAGAAAAAATATATATATTTCCCTTTGCGTCTCTTTTTAAGACACACGGATGTGTGGCGACGGGGCTTAATTGCCACTGTTTTGATTCTAGGAAACCCAGAAGAAGGATTAGCAACAAGAAGCAGTATTTTTGAACATCTTTCGTCCAAGTCTTGCGATGCGAAACAGGTTGTAAGGCAACTGACGGAGACTCTTCAGTTGGACCAAGCCTCTCTGGAACAGCCAGACCCTGACACAAGGAAGAGGATCCAGTCCTTGGTAAAAGAAGCTAGACGTTGTGACAGACTTGATGTAGTCGAATACTTAAGAAACATTACACCCGCTGGAACTACTGGTGAGTGTGTCTCCGTTTTGCACATAGTCTTGCATATATATAGGGTTTCATATATATAGTATATATACATAAACCTTTGTACCTACCTTTAAAATTATCCTACGCGAATGCGAGAAAATTATTTCTTCTTGGTGCTCTTTGATGAAAAAATTAACAAATGATAAAAAGGAAAATACGGGTTAAGGCCTCGTTACTGCTTTGAAAGGCAACTTCATCATTCATAAAGTAGATTGCTTAGAATATATCTCAATCGTTATGGAACAGCAGGCCAGTTTGATCGCTCGGATATTCGAGATTATTATTAATTTATAATATTTCGCTATTTCTGATTGGCTCAAATCCCACGGCTTATTCTTCATATTAACCATTCGGCGTTGACCAAATTTGAAGGAAGTGAGCAATATACTATCGATATGATGGTTTATTGTCCGAGTAGACTCGTTTCCAGGCAAATGTCTAATCGATCAATGAACCTCGTTTCTAGGCGCGGCAGCCTAGCTGTTTTTTCCAGCGTGACCTGGAAAAAAAAGAGTGTCTAAAACTCCCGAAAACTGACTAAAACTGATTAACTGAAGAAGTGTAAGAATACGCAAAACATATTGCAATTTGTTCGATGCATGTTTTCTACTTTTGAGGACTATCTGCAACAAAAAAATCCGTTTATATCCTGAAACGGTGCCGAGAAAAAGGCCAAAGGTTTGAAAAAAGTCTACGAGGAGGTAAGCTTGTTGACAACTTAGAGATATTTTAAACTTCAAAAACTCATTTATAATTCATAAAGAAAAAACGAAAGGAAATAATGTTTAATGAGTGTCTATATCTGATAAAGACACGGCTTAACTTAACGTCCAATGTTTTAGACCACAATAACCCCAAAACTAAATATTACTGCAAGAATGAGTTGATCTATATAAGAGATTTTGACTCCGGTGAAAAAACTCGCAGTCGGGTATTATCAGGTTTAAAAACTCTCGGCTTTGCCTCGAGTTTTTAAACCTGATAATAAACTCCTACTCGTTTTTGAAACAGTACTTTCCTATGATCTGAAGAATTATGCTGATCTCGGAGGCTGTTATCCATCTAGGCCAGACGCGTACCCAGTCGCTATTTATGTGTTTTGGCGGTGAGAGAAGATTGGGGGTTCGGTTGAGGCGCGCGCCGGGTTTCATGGGAAGGGACGATGGAAAAATAGCGTCGCTATTTTCCCTTCGTCCCTTCCCCCAATCTTCTCTCACCCCCAAAACACATAAATAGCGACTGGGTACGAGTCTGCATCTAGGCCAAACATTCACCTCTATCTTCATAATTTTTCACATCAATCTCAGCCTCGTTCAATGAAATGTTAATTTCTCTGTTTATTTGATTCCAGACTATGATGAATGGAACGCACCCTTAATTAGTAAATGTGTTTTGCTCACCGCTAAGACGTATGCTTGTTTCTAGGTCCGATTTTGCCAGAATCCCTTGATTTGAGAAGAATCTCCTTTTCGCAAGCAAGACAGCTTACCATTGCCTTGACTGGTATGCATTTTAGAATCAAATCAACATCTTTGAGTCTGATAGCCCATTTTGATTTCAGGTCCTTAACTAACGTAAACATGTTTGTAACGAATCAGATAAACTGCTGAGAACTAAACTGGTTGTTGTTTTTTTAAGGCCAGAGAAGGTGCTCGTGATCTACTCAGCTATTTTATATATGGAGTTATTCCTCGCGGAGCGAAATTTTTTATTTTGTCGCGCGTGGATCATAGCGACCTGCAAACTTGGGTTGCTCATATATATTTCTAGTCTTTCTATGTAATAACATGTTTATATCCAATGGTGTCCGCAGTCTTATGAAGTCATAAGCGGGCGTTTTGGAGATTAAGTTCGACGGCAAAATTTTTTTAAAGAGATCTTTGAAACAATTTGGATTGGTATTTTCATAATAAGCGAAAACGAAATAAAAGGAAGAACCAGTTTCTCATCACGACCGGCAGGGCTTCGCTCGAGCGCAACACCGAGTTTCCAAGATACGTATTTCCTGTGTTTGGGTTCATCTGTTGCATATGCGTATAAGCCGTCGCATTTGTCCGTTGGAGTTTAAACTTGAGTAGTACAGTAGCTCTTCCAGACCTTTATTTTCAATGACCTAAATAAGTAAGTAGCTTCTTTTGTTTTTAGGGCTAGGGGTATTGTTTGTGTTGAATCATCTATATTGTTTCGTTCTTCAATCACAGCCCCTCTCTGGAGAGCTACTGATCTTCTCTTAAGTTTAAACGGACACGCGGAACGGCATTTCGCATAGGATGCACTAGAAAAGAAAAAAATACCAACTTTATTTCAATGTTAATGTATTTAGCACTGAAGTACAAGTCGAGAACTCTATTTTAAGACTTTTTACGGGTCGTGTTGGAGACAGTACGGGCACAAAAACTTGATCTGATCACCGCAAAATTCTTGCTGTCTGTAAGATAGAGGCCTTCTTCTTCAGTTATTTTAGACCTACAGTATTGGTCCGCTCTCAGGAATCGAACCTGCCACACCCATCCTTTTTTGTAGACTGGTGCTTTACCAACTGAGCTTACCCTGCCGAGGTGAGGTTAGGTCAGGGTTATAGGTTTATGGTTGGGTTATTGTTTGGCAGCTTTGCCCTGAAAAGCTTCATAGTTCTGCGTACGTTACCACTTGATGACGTTGATGTTTGTGTTTCTCTTGGTTGTAGTTGCAGGCGACGAAAAGTGGAAAGATGTTGCTGAGAAACTGGGATTGAATCAGGGAGAGATTTGTTTCCTTGACCAACGTACCACAAATCCAGCTGAAGCTGTCTTAGGCTATATCGCACATCAGCGATATCTGTCTGTAGGAGAGCTTTATGAGCTCTTATGCGAGTGTGGGTTACCCTTAATCGCTGATAAACTGTAATATAGTAGAACTGGGTGTGACAGCAGTTGTTGCATTTATACAGTCAAATGCTTTATAAAATTAATAGTGTAGTTTATTTTGCATAAAGTGCAAAAGAGAAGAAAAAACTTTGTATAGCACTTCATTAATGTTACGACATCATGCTCTTCTTTATAGTGGTGAAAAGCTAGCGTGCTGTTGTTGGGTGTTTTTTTTAAAGTAATTTGGTGTACCCCGATAATTCTGTTTACAGTCGAACCTCCATGTGCGACCACCTCTCATAAGTGAACGGCTCTCGTGAGCGACCACCTATTCAAAACACCAGAATTTTCCCAGTCAAAGCCTTCCAGTTGGAACCTCGCGTAAACGACCACCACCTTTAATCAAACAGTAGGACCTGCCACTCAACATGAAAATAATCGCTCAAAACATGAAAAGAATGTATAAATTAAACTTGAAGAAGATGAAACGGATTACAATAGGCCTTTTTACAGTTATGGATGGAAGCGAGGCTGAAGGTGACCTTTGTTTTGATACAAACTTACCTGCTTTATTATGTAAATCAAGTTATTCTTATGCTAACTAGTATTTTTCAGGGACAATTTCCACAACAAAGCAAAGGAGGTTTGTATCAAAACAAGGCCAAACTCAGCCTCACATTCACTGGAAGGCTAGGGTACTTACTAAGTCCAAAAAAAAAGTCCACAACTGTAAAATGGTCTGTTGTGGTTTTTGAAAACTTGTTAGCCTAACAGTCAGTTTCAAAGTTCATTCTTTTTATCGTTTGACAATAATCCCAAGGAGACATATTTGTTTGACATGAAGCAGGGATTTTTTCATTTACAAGTAATTTCTTCGCTAAAGTTAAGTTTTATTTCGAGTAAGGGCGAGTAATTTCTAATATTAACAAAATGAACTCGACAGGCGTGGCACAGCCCCTTTAATACGGCACTAACAAATCAATAATAAGGGAAGGCAGGAGCCCATCAAATGGAGCCTCCATCTCCCATACAAGCCCTTGGAGTCAACCCTTTCCCGAGTAGATTTATAATTAGAACGGTTCCCAGGGGAGACTTCGCGCGCCGACGGTGGGAAGAGCCAATCACAACGACGTAATGACACTGCTATTGTACTTTCTAAAACAGCAGGAAATTCGGTGTTGACAGGCCAAACACAATCATAAGCTATAGTGAAACGTGACTTTAGCGTTTTCATCCCTCAGAGATTTTCTTTCTTTTCTTTCTAGCGGGTAGATTATATTGTGGAGAGTTTTAAACTCTTACTATGTTAATCTTAAGTTTGGTTTCTTGTCTCACATTAAGAGGCCATAAAGCTGGTCTGTTACATGCGTAATGATTAACTACTACCTGCAGTCTGTGGTTCTGACAGGATTCGTTTTCTTTAGCCAGTTTTTTTTAGCGTTAAGGTTCCTATGTCGGCTAAATGACTCAATATTAATCAAATTTCTAGTTTTTCAAGTTTTTTTCTCCAAAATGCCTTTATCTGAATAAATACTTGTAGTCCTTGTGGTTGTTTTGCCCGTCAGCTAGTGTGATGATTCCCTGCTATGTTTTGTAACGCCGGGCCCAGCCATTGTTTCTCGCAAAAAAGTGATCTACAGCCGGGCGAATTCGAAGGAAAAAATTGGCCTAAACTTCTACGTTAATTGCTGAGAATTGTCCTGTTAGTCAGTCATAATTCCAGTTTGACGCAGATACAATCCATTTTGTTTTTCTTGAGATAAGAGGGTATTTGGACTGGAGCGCGATGTCACAAATTCCTCCGTTAGCAAATTACTTTTGAGTTAGCTTCACGGTCGAGCAACTGTTGTCTTCTGTTCAACTTTTCAAGTGCCAGTTTTATCAGGCAACTCTCACGGTGATACAAGTCAGTTGTAAAGGAAGACTGCAATTTCTCAAATTTCGGAACTGAAGCATTCCTCCTTAGTTGTTAGATAGGTCATCGCTTTTGCACGCGGTGCTTAACTGGCGAAATCCACTCCACGGTGATGACAAAAATCAAATGATCATGCCCTGGCACTTTTTCTGCGCTGATCATCGAAAAGTTATAAATCGTCCACGGAACGCTTAATATTGGTCGACTCTTTTCAAGGTGCATGTTTAAATGTGGGATGCATGACGGCAAAAAAAAAAAAAAACACTCGCAAAGATAACCTTTCCGTGATCCTCAGTTCGCTGCCTTTGTCCCATCGCTTCATGCTCAGTCAGCGGGTAATTCATTAACTTATATTTCATGATACCCTGATCCCAGCGTTTGTAAAATTGTAAAAATGGACGTACAGTAAAAAAGGAAAACGGTCTAAGGATGGGCTTTTGGGTTCGACTTCATCCAACTTCATTTTTTCACGGTGACATACGAGACTCACGGAAATATGACGCTTTTCGTTCGCGGGAAACAAGCCGTTCTATTTATAAATCTACTCGGGAAAGGGTTGACTCAAGAAATTAATGGAGATGGAGGCTCCATTTGATGGGCTCCTGGGGAAGGTACCTTGATATTGCACAGTTTGTGTTGCAACAAAATTGCGAGACAACAGGCGAGACCCAGACTGCCCGACTGTAAGCAGTCCCTGTTTTTCTTTTGACTCTGTGTACAGACCTGCCCGCATGGCAGTCGTTTGAAAGGGATGGGAAAGGGAGTTTTAGGCACGAGGGAAACGCGAGGGGGCGGGCGAGGAGGGAGGGAAGGAAACGCCTGCCAGGAGACCATTGTTTTTCTCGTTTTTAACATCGACCAGGCGAATGTTAAAATCCTGATTGGCTAGTCTTCAAAACAAGTCAATCACGGCCTTAATATCTTTATTTGATTGGTTGAAATCAACATCACGGTTCTGAGTAACTTAATCGATCTTACAGTAATCATTATATGTTGTTACTGAAGCGTGATGAGATTTCTGTACGGAATTAATCGTCGACCGCACTTGAATTTTTTTTATAGTACCTTTACTTTAGATTTCTTGGTTTAGGAAAACAAAAGAAAAACAGAGCGAGAAATACGACTAGAATACGTGCATCGCGACCAGACTTATTTGACAGCTAGTCATTCACAGTTGTGTTATTTTTGTCATTTTTTTAATCAGTAGGCGGGATGGCGAAAACAATGGCTTCCTTGCAGGCGTTCCCCTCCTCCCTCCTCCCTCGCACGTTGTCTCGCGCCCTAATTACCTTCCCCTTCCGTTTCGAACGCCTGCCACGCAGGCTAACGCGTGTAAAGGGCGAGAAGTGGACTTCGCGTGACGTGTGAGATGTATGCGTGATCTCTGGGGACTGCATCAATTCTTTGGTCACATGACCAAAGGTTTCTCACGCAGCAACTACGGTCTGACGAAGTGGTTTTCTTGGTACATATCTGTAAGTACTGATTACTTTTTGTATTAACACTCGGATTTTTGTGCTGTGATATCCTATAAGGGTAGTACGTAAATGCTTGGTGCCTCTGTATTCTGTGGACTATTGCGTCCTGGCGAAATGGAATTAGCCTCCATTTTGAAAGCAGTGACTCTTCTTAACCGCACACGACATTGAATTAGTGCTTCACGATGTGAAGGATTTCGTTTTCTAACTTTACAACTCCAGTGGCGTACTTTCTATCGACGTTTGAAAGGTAAAAATGTCAGTAGACGTTCTGCAATTTGCTCTTCAACTTTGAGCTTAATTGCATCCCGGAAGTGGGTATCATTTATTCCTCCTAGAATTCTCGCATTGCGTTTTCTGTCGTATACAGTTCAAATAGTGGTTGTATAAATTTCATGAAAACAAGTGTAATTTTTTAAAGGTTGAGAAAATTTTTTAAACATTTTCATGGAACTTAAAACGTTATTAGACTCTTTAAAATCCCCAATTTTTTAAAGATGGTCGAGAGGGAACGCTACAAACGGCCATCTTGACCGAGTCTAGCTTGAAGATGACTATCTCCTCTTCTTTAGGTGGCGGGGGAACTCGATTTATTGAAATTTGAAACCATCTTTTTTTGTTTTCTATGCTTTGTTTTCAGCAGCTACTTAATTCGACCGAATTAAATCGGCACTGATGAGTATCTAATTGCTTAAGGGATTTAAAAGGTTGATTACTTTTCCAGGGTAGCTTTTTCAGAGAGTGCATGAAATAAAATATTTGACACACTGTAGGCTCAAATTCAATATAGTATTCAATATTCATATTCAATATTTATAGTATTGTGTTTGACATAACAAACCTAAACTTAGCTGTCCAACCTTTGTACAAAACTAGAATACCCTAGCTTTAGCAAGTTTCTGGTTCAGTTTATTATGCTTGGATGAATTACTTGTCATTCCTACTAGGACTGCTGAAGCAGGTGTTATGCAGTGCAGTCTGAAAGTATGTTTGTCAAATTAAGGAGACATGGAGTGTGGTCTAGTAGATGGACCACATTTCACTAGTTCTGTACTGTACCTGGAGGGCGATCAGTAAGAAAGCATAATGGAGCTTAAGTTTGTTGTACTTTACTCCACATTGTGTCCCCGGGAGTGGGGGGCGGTACTTCCTATAAAAGAGACGGGATGTTTGTTGAAAAAATTTTGAGAACATCCCCATTAAAAAGCTACCAGAATCTTTTTTTTTTTTGGGGGGGGGGGGGTGTCAGAAATTAATTTCCACCCAAGAGGTACCAATTCAACAACAACAAATTATATAACTGGCACTGCAAATTTTAATAGTAATAAAGATTACTTTCGAACACTTTCTTCTCAAGGACTTTTTGAAAGTATTGTCATAAATCTTACAGAGACAACTCTGGGATCAGTCATTTTAGGTTTTAGCTTTCTAAGCAGTATCAATCCACAAATTTAAACCCCTAAAAGAGGTATAATGAGCACCCCCATTACTTTTATAGGGGAGTAGCCCCCTCCTGGGATTGTGTCCCTCTTTTCATGTCTGTACCTGTATACTGGCCTTGTCTCTTATACTGTATTTATTTGAATGAGCGCCCAACCACAAATTAGCGCCCATCTTGAATAAGGGCCCATCGTAAAGGCAGAAGAATTTAATAATATCACATCCACATGGGATGGCATGGTGGTTCTTACAGGCGATATTAACTTTGCATGCGGC